AATTTATGTTTTAAAACAAAAATGATTATATCTATATTAATATTAAATTGGTTAGATATTCAATAGGTATCTAACCATTGTAGATGATCTACTATATGTATTTTTTTTTCGCTGACGCACTTCACAACTATTGATTAAAAGATTACAGAATCAGGAAACCAATAGAAAATCGAAGTGCTAATGGTAGAGAAGACTACCTTCTGTACGCGAGCGTTCCTAGCCAGTAGGTCTGCCTTCTTGTTCATTTCCCGAGGACAATACGTCAAAGTAAAGTCTATAAAATGACATATGTAAAACCTTCAACTCGTCTAACTCGGTTTGGAACCTAGGCCAGTTGACCGGATCTGTCACCATAGCAACAAGCTCCTGTGAATCCGTTACGAAAGCCGCACAATAGCGTTTCTTGTTCCTTAGACTCTCCATGGCCCATAAGAGACTATGTATCTCCGTGTGGAGTGGGGATTGACTACTCCTCATTCTTCTTATATCTAGAAGATCCGTCTCTCCATCTTGGAGTTGCAAGACCCAGCCTAATCCACTCGTGGAATCTCCTTCTTTCCAAAACCGGTCAAGAAAGCATTTGAAAACTGTTGTAGCCACTCCCGGAGAGAGTGGCTCTTGTCGCTGTTGGTCCCTTGTCGGAGAGAGATGCTCTAATATTCTTAACTAAAAAAGGTGTAATTTCTTCAAGTATTGATAGAGTCAGACGAACCATTACTCACTTACCAAAAAAGTATAATTTCTTTAAGTATTAGTCAGGCCTACCATTACTCACTTGTAAAAGGGTGAACATACATACAAATATATGATCAATTAATTATATACAAGGAAGTAGATAGTGACAAAAAAAAAAAAAGGAAGTAGATCTGCAGGACAAGATATTACAACAAATTAAACTGTATTTGTATTTTTTTATGTGGAAGGATATATAAAATAATATATGGCAATTAAAAATAGAAAATTTTTAATTTGTAACCAATTATATTAATATAGATTCTCATTTTAAATATTAAGAGATTTTTAATTTCATAAATGGAAATATGTGTAGAGTTCAACGTGTAGTAGTTCAACGATTGTAAATATTATGTTTCAGTTGATTTCATTATATATATGGACACAAGAAAAGATAAAACAATCATTAAATTTGAGGAGGTTGGAACAAGAGAAGAAAGAAAAAGAGAGAGCGACAGAAAAACAAAATGGAGTGGAGAAAATGGTACTTAGACGCCATTATTGTGCCCTTAGCTCTTGTGATGATGCTTTGTTACCACATCTACTTGTCCTTCATGGTTCGAACCCATCCCTTCTTCACCGTCCTCGGCATCAATTCTCACGGCCGCCGGATCTGGATTTCCGCTATGATCAAGGTTTTACATCCATCTCGATTCTCTTCTTACCCAAAATATAAAAATTTAAAACAAGATTATGGTAACCTATAGTGATTATTGTGGTCTGATTAGAGCTTTGGTGTGAGAAATTAGTTTATTTGGTTTAGAAATTAGTCTTCGTTTCGTTTTAAAATCCATGATATA